CTCGCCGGCCAACGCCCACCCCATGCAAACTCGCTCCAAGGCCGGTGTTTTCTGCCCAAAACAAATCTTGGACCTCCACACCACTACATCCATCACCCCCTTACCCCTAACTTACCATAGTGCTATGAAAGATCCAAACTAGTATGCTGCTATGTGTGATGAATATAATGCTTTGTTAAAGAATGACACATGGGAACTAGTACCCCCCTCCCCCAACCAAAACATAATCACTGGTAAATGGCTCTTTAGACACAAATTTGGCCCGTCCGGTGAGTTATCCAGGTATAAGGCCCGATGGGTGGTCCGCGGATTCGATCAGCGTTTTGGCGTTGACTACAGCAAAACCTTCAGCCCCGTCATCAAGCCTGCCACAGTCCGAATCGTCCTTAGCCTCGCATTGACTCGTGGGTGGCCTACTCATCATCTAGATGTCAAAAATGCCTTCCTCCATGGACAGCTTCAGGAAACCGTGTATGCCAGCCAGCCCTCAGGTTTTCAGGATGCCGATCGGCCTCATCATGTTTGCCGGCTCAAGAAAGCTCTTTATGGCTTGAAACAGGCACCCTGGTCATGGTATCACAGATTTGCAGGTTTCATTCAGACTATTGGATTTCGCGGCTGCAAATCTGACACATCTCTTTTCATCAGCATGCATGCATCGGGGACCGCCTACCTCTTGTTATATGTTGATGATATCGTCCTCATTGCCTCCTTGCCAGCACTCCTTCAGAGTCTCATTCAGAAACTCAAGGCTGAGTTTGCCATGACAGACATGGGTGACTTGCACTTTTTCCTCGGCATCAATGTCCTTCGCACTGCTCATGGCCTCTTCCTTCATCAGACACAGTTCACTCACAACATCCTTGAGCAGGCAAGGATGGTCTCCTGTCGCCCCATATCTACTCTAGTCGACACAAAGGCAAAGCTCTCTTCCTCCTCCAGCACGGGACTTCGAGATCCTTCTCTTTACAGGTCCATAGTTGGTGCTCTGCAATATCTCGCATTCACTCGACCTTATATTACTTATACCGTTCAGCAGCTCTGCCTCCACCTTCATGCGCCCCGCGACTCTCACCTCACGGCCATGCAGCGAGTTCTCTGTTATCTTAGCGGCACCGCCACTCACGGCATCTACCTGACCCGCTCTACGACAGACTATCTCCAGGCTTATTCTGATGCTGATTGGGCTGGATGTCCTGACACCAGACGTTCTACTTCCGGGTACTGCATTTTTCTAGGCGACAACCTGATCTCATGGTCTTCGAAACGCCAGGCCACCACCTCTCGCTCCAGTGTAGAGGCAGAATATTGGGCTGTGGCTAATGCAGTTGCTGAGACATCTTGGGTCCGAAATCTTCTTCTTGAGCTCCAGCTACCACTATGGCGCGCCATCCTCTTCTTCTGCGACAATGTCAGTGCCGTCTATCTCTCATCGAACCCGGTTCAGCACCAGCGCACCAAGCACGTTGAAGTCGACATACACTTTGTGCGTGACAAAGTAGCACTCGGCCACATCAGAGTCCTTCACGTGCCCTCTTCTTCACAACATGCTGACATCTTCACCAAAGGACTACCTTCATTACTCTTCCTCGAGTTTAAGTTCAGTCTAGGTATCAGACCCCCTCCTCAGCCGATGTAGTCGGGAGCATGTTAAATATATATTCTATATTTAATGTAAATATATTGTTTTCTATTATTGTCTCCTACGTTGTATAGGATTAGGACTCCTTGTGTATATATAGACATGTACTCCTACATATTCAATCAAGGAAATTAACATTTCTACACTATCACCACTCTTTTCCTTCCACTCTTCACTGCAACCTAGATTTTCACATCAATGGCAACTCCCTCATGTATTTGTTTTCTAGCTCTACTTTATATCTTCCCTAAAATTTTTCTTGAAACATTAAATTGAGCAGCAACCTTACCAATAACTCCTTTCTAAGCTATGTATTGACCTGATTTTGTTTTTTTATTTGGTAAGATTGCTTCTACAATTCTTTGTCTTTCTAAGTTTGTTAGTCTTTTGCTCCTTACTTGGTTTTCTCTTTGCAGATTCTCATCTCTGGTTGGGCCAGTAATAACCGGTCGTGTGAGAGGAGGAGGAACAATAGTGTGAGGAGAAGGAGGCATGTGAGATGAAGAAAGGATAGGGGTTACAGAATTTTTTGTTGTGAGATGGAGTTTCTAAATTTATAGGGGATTGAATTATTTATGAGGTGTAGGTTTTAGTGGTGTTTTTTTGTTTATGATTGGAGGAAAATGTTTAGAAATTTCTCTCCTAATTGTCAAGCTAATGTTTAAAGTTTTGATTTTGGTGGTACTGCCAAAATCTCAACTCTTTGTACGTTAGAGACAATGCATCATTCGAACTCCAATGTGTGGCTATGCTCTTCCTTAATGCAAAATATCTACTCTTATTTTTACTCCTTTACACTAAAGTTTTTTTTAAAGGAACGGTATAGTTGGAAGTCAGAGTGAAAAAATTCAATCCCTTAAAAATGACCTTTAGTCAAAATGGGAAGATCAATATAGGACGGAGGATGATAAAAATGAGTAATGCTAGAGTCACAAACAAAACAATCACAAAACTCGCAATCTTACCAAATATGTAAAACAAAGGTACCAAATAAGGGTTTCAAATAATTAAAAAATAAATATCAAAATGCAAAAAGGTAAGATTGTGAATTTTGTGAGTATTTTGTTTAACTCTAGCATTACTCTATAAAACTACCAAAGTAGAAGTCATAAGTCTTTTAAAACTGAAATAGGAGTGTGATCAGTCAACCCGTCGGTGATCCGCGAAAATACTCTAGTGGCCGGCGGCTACGAATGACAGTGTGACCATGATAGTGTGACAGTTACAACGTGACAATGTACTGAGTGTGATAGTGTAACAATGACAACATGAACTGCTGTTTTGATATTTTCATAATTTTTTTAACTCATATCTAAGGAATTCTCCCTTAACAAAAAAAGTCAAAATAAGAAGAGTTTTTGGGACTGAAGGAAATAAAATTTATGTTAGGTATTGATATAGGATAAAGCTATTTGTACCCCAAACTTTTGTACCCTATTTGTACACTGCATGTTTGCACCAACATTTTGTGTTGGTGTAAAACTAATTTTTGTTAACGCACCAACACTTGTGTCCGTGTAAAGTTTTGTTAATGCACCAACACTTGTGTCGGTGTAAATTATCAAAATGTTTGTGTATAACTGCGATGTACAAATGAGGTATAATTTTTGGTATAAGTGTAACATGGTCCATTGATATAAGATTAGTTTTATACGATTTTTTGTAAAATATTTCAAAATGTTGTTTCATTTACTCCCTCCGTCCCCAATTTGATTATAAATTGCGAGTTACGGAGTAAAATTTTCTACTTTTTGAAATCATTTTATTTATAAATTGGTATTCCGTATATCAATAAGGTATAAAAATTACAAATTAAAAAACTACGTCAAAAGATCTACAAAACAAGAGGTGACAAAAATATTTTATTTTATCAAATACTTAATGGAATCGCGTAAATAAACAAAAGTTATCGAGAGGAGAGAAAAAAAAATTGTAATCAATTTAGGGACGGATGGAGTAATTAATAGACCATGTAATGTCAAAGATCAATCTTGATTAATGGCAAAAAATCAAAAGTGCACGGAAAATGAGGGATGGAGATACTATTACAAAGGTGGGCAATCAAACATCCAAATTAGAAGATGATCAAACGTACGCACCATACTCAAATAAATCTCTTCCACGAATTATCCCACACTGCTTGGCGCCAAGTCCGGGTCACCATGCATGGCCTTACTCAACAGGCCCTGTTTTTTGTTCTAATTAATGCTTGTTCTGTAAAAGCACACCATGCACTATATAATTGTTTCTCACAAATTTTGATTGGCTCAAGATCTGTTCCTTCGATTCAATTTTCCAGGTGAAGAATGGCTCGTGATTTGCTTCACGGGACGCTGCATGTGACGGTCTACGAAGTCGACCGCATCAGCGGCGGTGGTGCCGGCGAGAGGCACTTTTTCCGGAAGGTATTTGATTATTTTGCTTTTTTTACTCGAATTCTCCCTTGCATATGCCCTGTTATTATTATTTAGAGTAAATTTCATAATTGACCCTTTATAACAGAGGTTTTCCTATTTAGTTCTCTGTTAACAAATATTACCGCAGTAGTCTTTCTTTTTTTGGATATCTTTCTACAAATAGTTCTTTTTTGATCTTCTATCATGTTGATGTTAATTTGAAAGCTAAAAAAGTAATTTCACAATGATAATATATCTTTTTTGTCATACACAATTCCAAAGACTGTTCCGTTTGCGTCATTTGTGAATTACAATTACTTTCTATTACAACCATAGTCTACAAATGTGGTCTTTCGTCAGAATCCTAGCCCACAATCATAGCCATTATTTTTGTGTTATCCACTTAACCAAGATCAGAACACGTTACTAGACATAATGTTGATATTAAATTATACGTTTAGCCTTTAAATTAACACTAACATGACAGAAGATCAAAAAAGGATCATTTGTGGAAAGATACCCTTAAAAAGGACTATGAGGGTAAGATTTGATAATAAAGGGCTAAATATGGAAACTCCTCTTTTATAAAGAACCAATTATAGAATTTATTCTATTATTTAATAGTATAAAATAAAATATTTTTATCAAACTCTTGTAGTTAATTGACGAACAAAGTTGAAAGAATAATGAATTGGGAGGAAATTCTCTCTAGATTTCTCGTCTTCAATTTACAAAGTAGACATGTATATATAGGCTCTCACAGGTTGAGAAACCTAAACACAAAAGGAAACGAAATCAACCCTATACAAGGAAGCTACCAAAAATAATATATACCAAAAATATATACGAATATTCTCTTTCCTTTAACACCCCCCCCCCTCAAGTTGGAGCATGTAATAACGAAATGCCCAACTTGGGAAGAAGAAACTCCAAACGTGACTTTCCGAGTGCCTTCGTATGAATGTCTGCAAGCTGATGCGTAGTAGGCACATGAAGTGTACGAATCTCTCCTCGCAAGAGCTCATCACGAACGAAGTGACAGTCAATTTTAATGTGCTTCGTGCGTTCGTGAAAAACCGGATTAGCAGCAATGTGAAGTGCCGACGTGCTGTCACACCGGACCGTCATGGGGTTCTTATGCTCAACCCCTAAACACCGCAATATATTCTTCAACCACTTCAACTCACAAGTAAGGACAGCCAAAGCTCTATACTCTACTTCAGCAGACGAGCGAGCCACCGTCGACTGCTTCTTTGTTTTCCATGAGACAGGTGAGTCTCCAAGCTGCACAAACCACCCTGTCAATGACCGCCTCGTCAAAGGACATGCTGCCCAGTCCGAATCACACCATCGTGTGAGTTGAAGGCTACTGTCTGCAGAGAGGAAAATTCCCTGTCCAGGACATCCCTTTAGATAACGAACAACTCCAAGAGCCGCAGACCACTGATCCTCCCTTGGTTCCTTCAAAAATTGTGCTAAAGTGTGGACTGCGTAGGAAAGTTCGGGTCGTGTAACCGAGAGATAGACCAATCGTCCTACCAACCGTCGATACGGTTCTGGATCTGCAAGAACTGGAGCCTGAGAACGAGCCAAATGATGATTTGGCTCCATCGGTGCACCCAACGGCCTGGCACCCAATAAACCTACTTCAGTAATAATGTCCAAGGCGTACTTCGTTGGCAGAGAAAAATCCCAGATGTACTACGTGCTACCTCGATGCCAAGAAAGAACTTCAAAACCCCCAAATCCTTCATATGAAAACAATTTGCTAAATAAGCCTTGAACTTGCTTATCATTTCTGCGTTGTCTCTGGAAATAATCAAATCATCAACATAAACCAAAACATGAATTACTCCTTTCCTCCCAACAAACGAAAACAAGGAGTAATCAGAGATAGACTGGACAAATCCATAGCGCTTCAAAGCTCTAGACAAATTTGCAAACCAACATCTAGGAACTTGTTTTAAACCATAAAGTGATTTCTTGAGTTTGCACACCACATTAGAAGAACTTGAGAATCCTGGTGGCAATCTCATGTATACCTCATCCTGTAGATCGCCATGTAAGAAAGCATTATGGACGTCCATCTGATGCAGCTCCCATCCCTTGACTGCTGCAACAGCTAAAAGAGTCCGTACCGTGGTCAACTTGACTACAGGAGCAAATGTTTCTTTGTAGTCAAGCCCTTCAACCTGATGATTACCAAGGACCACAAGCCTGGCCTTATATCTTTCCACACTGCCATCAGACTTGCGTTTGATCTTATACACCCATTTGCATCCAAGGGGCTTTTTATGATGAGGGGGACGGACAAGAGTCCAAGTGCCATTTGCTTCTAGGGCATCAATTTCTTCTCGCATAGCCTTCCTCCATCGCTCATCTTGGAATGCCTGCTTGTAACCCTTGGGCTCCACTTCTGCATCAAGAGCTGTGAGAAAACATTTATGTTTCTGAGAAAACTTCTCATACGTGACATACGACGAGAGAGGATATTTGCATTTCTCCCCGACATATGGTCCAACCACATGGGTAACATAATCGGCAAGGCGTACATTTGGACGTTTCTCACGCTGACCACGTCCCAAGTTCTCCACCGCTGGCTAGAAAGGTGATGGTCGACCGCCGTCCGTGGAACGGTCCACGGGGTCGACCGTCTGAAGCTGTTCCGGATCGCTAACTTTCTGCCTCGGAGACGGTCGACCGTCTTCCTCATCACGGTCGACCGTTTGATCATCTCCCAAAGAACCGTCATTCTGCCTCTCGGACGGTCGGCCGTGGATATCAGGACGGTCCACCAGGTCGACCGTTCGGTCATCTCTCAGGAATCCGTCATTCTGCCTCTCGGACGGTCGACCGTGGACATCGGAACGGTCCATCAGGTCGACCGTCTGTAGCCGATCTGCTCTGCCGCTTTCCTCCGGTCGACCGTCCCTCCTGGAACGGTCCATTTGTTCTTCCCTCCGCAGTTCTTCATCTTCATCATAAGAGCTAACCTCATTTGTAGTTCCTGTATCAAGAGATGCACCTGTAGGAGTCAAGAAAGGGAAAATATCTTCACAAAACACAACATCCCGGGACACTTTGATTTCACCAGTGTCCGGGTAGTAAATATGACATCCCTTCTTCCCTTGTGGATATCCAACAAATATTCCAGGAATGCTTCTTGGTGCAAATTTATCGCCATTCCTTTTCAAGTTATGAGCATAACATCTGCATCCAAAAACACGAATATGAGCCAAAGAGGGTGGCTTTTCATAGATCTTCTCGTATGGTGTGACCCCCCCTAGCAAAGACGAAGGTGTGCGATTGATCAGATGTGCGGCGGTCTGTATACATTCTCCCCAGAACTCAATCGGAAGACCAGCCTGAAATCTCAAAGCCCGACCCACATTCAAAATGTGTCAGTGCTTGCGTTCTACTCTCCCATTCTGTTGTGGAGTAGACACACAAGACGTCTCATGAATAATTCCTTGCTCTTGGAAATATTCGTTTAGACATTCAAATTCTGTGCCATTATCACTGCGAACACACTTTATTTTCTTCCCAAATTGTCGTTCTACCATAGCACAGAATTGTTTAAAAACAGCGCCAACCTTGCGTTTGGAATCAAGCAAATGTACCCAAACACCTCTTGAAAAATCATCCACAATGGTCAAGAACATTGTAGAACCATCAAAACTTGGAGTCCTATATGGTCCCCATAAATCACAGTGTATCATATCAAATTTATCAACAGATTGATAAAAACTTATAGGAAAACTCCCACGAGTCTGTTTAGCACGCAAACAAATGTCACAACAACTGTGACTACTCTTACTTGTTCCAACT